GTTTTGTTAATTGACTCATTCAATTCAAACTGTCCTGATGATGGGAATAAATTTCCCGAAAGCTTGACAAGTTGAAAAAGTAGTTTTAATAACTTACTCAGTCACGACTAAACATGCTGTTTTCGAATTATTATTGAAAGATCGAAAAAGGATTGAACGTTTTCAGACACACAAATATATTTCAAACAATTATTTGTTCTTGAATTTTAATCATTTTTACTCAATATAAAAATAAATTACAACCTTCTTAAGACTCCATTACACTAGTCCGAAAAAGTAGCAAAATAAGCTTTCGGCATTTAACGCTTTATGTAAAACTGTCTAAGTATTTTTACACAAATGAAGAAGGAAATTAAAGATAAAGGATTATACTATATCCAAATTGTAGCACATTTTTAGACAACTTCTTTATTTTTAAGATTTTGATGGTCAAAATATTCCTTCCGTTTGGACTAAATTTTCTAGAAAATAAAGATATAATTTAAAATTCTGTTACAATACGGAAACAGGTTGAAGTTTGGTGATTACAGTGATATATAATTTATATGGTTTTGTAATAAATTGCTCGCTATTTTATGGTAAATGCTGAAGCTCTGCAAACCTTAATCAAAGTACGTGTGTTTGGAATGTTTGGATATGATTTAACACGACAGGATCGGGCTAAGCCAGATTTCTGAAATATAAGATATATTTCCTTCGGCCACACACCCACTGTACCCAATCCCTGAGAGCGATCAGAACAGTACAGCGTAATAGACTATAGACTATAGACTCTTAAGATCAATTGGCAATAAGCGCCATTAAAAAATAAAGAAGAGTACAGGCTAAGTAAATGACGTCTAGAGCTTGACCTCGCCAAAATTATCATCGATCTGCAACCTTCGAAAAATGCCTAAGAGAAAAAACGGCGTCCAGTTGGCTTGGAAATGAACATCGATGACATTTTCCATATAATTTCTGGTTTAATATACCTATAAAACGACAGCGAGCTTCATTTTGGGTCATAGCCATCGCTGACGCCGTTTTTTTTATCATAATGTTATTTCGATTGATTTTCTCGATCGCAGGGTATTTTTTTTTAAATATGCCTTTTGCTACCATTATAACTATGATTATTATTTACAGGTTTACAATGAAAAACTTTTGGTCGTTCACAATTATACTCTTGTGGGTTTATTCGAATAACGCAGACGATATGGACGATAACTGCGAAACCAGATATATTTCTGTGGATTTTAATTACTACGGCATTGACGAAGTATTTTGTACATATATCAATTCAAATAATTTTACGTATATAACAGATACGATTAGCGACAAATATGGAGCAAGAACAGCATTGGATATATCAAACGTAAACATTTCAGTACTATTACCATTCTCGAGTACCAAATATATAAAAAAATTAAGTTTGACTAATGATTCTATTAATAAAATTGAATCGACATTCTCCAGTTCCTGTCCTGAACTAAAAGACTTAAACCTGGCTAAAAATAATATTTCGAGGATAGGTGGCGGTCTATTTTACAGATTATATACACTGGAAAGACTTAATTTATCACAGAACGTTTTAAATGATTTAGATGACCATCTGTTACTAGGACCAGCGGAACTGAAAATATTAGATTTAAGCAAGAATAGGATTGTATTTTTACCTTCAAATATATTCCAATCTCAAACATCACTCCAGGAAATTTACCTTAACGATAATTTAATAACGACACTAAGCACAGACGTATTCATGGAGTTAGACCTATCTGTGTTAAATTTAAACAATAATAAATTACAAGAGTTTATTGTAGCATCTACAATAATTATAAATGTAAAATACTTATATATTTCAAATGTAACTTTAGAAAACGAAAAGTTTCGCAATTTTTGTCAGTTTTTCAACTGTTCTGTGCTAGAAATATTGGACATTAGCTTTAATAACATTTCATCCTTATATTGTCAAACATTTAATAATCTGACTAATCTAGAAAAATTATATATAAACGACAATTTATTATATTCAGTGGAATACAGTGCTACGAATAACTGGTTTAATATATTCAACGCAATGCCAAATCTAACAAATGTTTCCTTTGAGAACAACATGTGGAGCTGTCGTGATTTAAAAGAAATTCTACAAATTCTTATGGCGAAGCAGGTATATGTAACTCGTGGAAATTATTTTAATGAAACCAACATGTTGGGTATACGTTGTAATATGAATGACCAATCACATATCACCAGCCTGTCAAATGAAACCTTGTCAACTGATTTCCATAAAAATATAACTGAAATTTTAGAAAGACTGCTAAAAAATGCCGATGACGGAATTGCAGAAGTAGGAAAGAATGAAAATGAAATTATGAAACTTGGAAACAAAATTGAAAATATTTTGAAACGAATAACTGAGCTTGAATCGACCCGAAATCGGACTTTTTTAGAACTCTTTAAAATTATTAATAACGTAATAGAACAAAATAATAATAAAAATTTAGAGCAACAAGACAAGTTAAAGAACACTATTCTAGACTTGCAGAATTCCGTAAAAAATATTACACAACGTTCAATATTAGATACAAAAGAAAAAACTGGGGAAACTAATGCATCAAATTTTGAAAAAAAATTAAATGCATTAATTCTTTTGTCTGAGAATAACAATCTTGAATTAAATAAGATTCGATCCATTATGCCAAAGATTAATTTTTCTTATCACAATCCAACAAGCAATAGAGAACTGACTGTGTTGGAAAAAATGTTACTTGAAAGATTTAATAAGGAAAATAACAAATTTGGAGAAATTTTAATAAATATGTTTTTATTATTTTTAGTTGTTTCTATGCTGGCTTATTTTTGCTATTTTATTTATAAAGAAATGTTTATTGTAAATCAGAGGGAGCAAGTAAACCTTGTATAATTAGAGAGATATTGTATTCATATTATATTGTCATTTTGTAATATACCTACAGTTATAAAAAATGTGTTTTATTTATATACAATTTTGTGTTTCCTAGAAATATAGACTAATATACAGCGTACGCAAAAATATCGTTGTTACTGTATAGCGATCCACATTGATTGAAATGGTTGGCAATACCATAATGATTGGTACCGATTCTAAAACCAATAATCGATCGAAATATTTTACCATTTTTTTTTAATTTTATAAAATTCCTAAAAATATTAGTATTTATTTTATCCTATAAAGGAGTAAAATATAGTATTTATTTAACCTATAAAAGCGTCTTTACTAGCCTATTAGGGCCACAGCGGAAGTGTTAATATTAAATTTAAGCAAGAATAGGATTGCATTTTTACCTTCAAACGTTTTTCAATCTCAAACATCACTACAGGAAATTTACCTTAACGATAATTTAATAACGACACTAAGCACGGACATATTCAAAGACTTATACCTATCTGTGTTAAACTTAAACAATAATAAATTACAAGAGTTTACTGTAGCATCTACAAGAATCATAAATGTAAAATATTTATATATTTCAAATGTAGCTTTAGAAAACGAAAAGTTTCGCAATGTTTGTCAGTTTTTCAACTGTTCTCTGCTAGAAATATTGGACATTAGCTTTAATAACATGTCATCCTTATATTGTCAAACATTTAGTAATCTGACTAATCTAGAAAAATTATATATAAACGACAATTTGTTATATTCAGTGGAATACAGTTCTACGAATAACTGGTTTAATATATTCAACGCAATGCCAAATCTAACAAACGTTTCTTTTGAGAACAACATGTGGAGCTGTCGTGATTTAAAAGAAATTCTACAAATTCTTACGGCGAAGCAGGTACATGTAACTCGTGGAAATTATTTTAATGAAACCAACATGTTGGGTATACGTTGTAATATGAATGACCAATCACATATCACCAGCCTGTCAAATGAAACCTTGTCAACTGATTTCCATAAAAATATAACTGAAATTTTAGAAAGACTGCTAAAAAATGCCGATGACGGAATTGCAGAAGTAGGAAAGAATGAAAAATGAAATTATGAAACTTGGAAACAAAATTGAAAATATTTTGAAACGAATAACTGAGCTTGAATCGACCCGAAATCGGACTTTTTTAGAACTCTTTAAAATTATTAATAACGTAATAGAACAAAATAATAATAAAAATTTAGAGCAACAAGACAAGTTAAAGAACACTATTCTAGACTTGCAGAATTCCTTAAAAAATATTACACAAAATTCAATATTAGATACAAAAGAACAAACTGGGTAAGATGCAATTTTGAAAAAAAATTAAATGCATTAATTCGTTTGTCTGAGAATAACAATCTTGAATTAAATAAGATTCAATCCATTATGCCAAAGTTTAATTTTTCTTATGACGATCCAACAAGCAATAGAGAACTGACTGTGTTGGAAAGAATGTTACTTGAAAAATGTAATAAGGAAAATAAGAAATTTGGAGAAATTTTAACTAATATTTTTTTATTATTTTTAGTTGTTTCTATGTTGGCTTATTTTTGCTATTTTATTTTTAAAGAAATGTTTATTGTAAATCAGAGGCAGCAAGTAAACCTTGTATAATTAGAGAGATATTCTATTCATATTATATTGTTATTTTGTAATATACCTACAGTTATAAAAAATGTGTTTTATCTATATACAATTTTGTGTTTCCTATAAATATAGACTAATATACAGGGTACGCAAAAATAACGTTCTTACTGTAATTCCTTAATACACATTGTTTGAAATGGTTGGCAATATATTGTTAGAGGATTTTAGGATTTCGAAACAAATTATCGATCGAAATATTTTACCATTTTTTTTTAATTTTATAAAATTCGTTAAAATATTAGAATTTATTATGTCGTATAAAAAGAAAAAGTTTTTACTAGCCTCATAGGAGTAGTAAAGCCGTATTATGTTATTGCCATAGATTTACCATATAACGATGCCATTTAAAAATGGTCTAATATGAACAGTACAATAAACTGTAGATTGCAAAATGCGTTTTAAAATGTTTAAACTTACCGAGGACAAATATAACAGGCACTTTCGGTGACTCGAACTGTATAGGTGCGTCGTTGTGCATCGGGAATTTGCCCGCCGACGGCGTAATGGCGTTTCTATTTTGTTGTCTGGGAGAATTCTGAACCCAAGTTTCCGTTCCTTCTTCAAATGCTCGAGATCCATCACTTTGCTCTGGAACAAAAGATAAGTTTTACTTAAAAAACGGAAATACACCTTAAGGCTCGCCTTAAGGTAACCCAAAACCACAGCTTATTCTGTCATTTAGCTATGTGTTATTTTACAACAGTCATTTATAATAACAGTTCTCAAGATTAATTGTTATTTCTAGAAAAATAACTATTACGAAAATAGTTATTTAATGATCTGTTGGTTTACAACTGTCATTTATTAATAACAGTTTGCAACACTAACTGTTACGTCCATAAAATAATAGTGTGAAAAGAAAACGTCGACAACGATAACTTATGATATGAAGCCGGCGCGGCATCGCCGTTAGGGTTCAGAAATGGGAAATACCACCGGTACCGAAAGTACCGGGAATTCCCGGTTCTTTCGGTACTTTCGGGACTCGGTAATAATTAAAAACATATTTTTTGTTACGTGCGAAAAACTTTTCATACTTTTTAGCGGTGAAAATCAAATTCTTTTAAATAAGTAACTTAAAAGTAAACTCTGTTCTTACTTCTGAAGTTGTTTTGAAGTTTCTATAATGTTTGTTAGCAATTATTGAAGTTTAAATATGTTATTTTATTATTTAGTATAATATTGCTGAACGTATTAGTTATATTTTTTGTGTTATGTTTTTATAGGTATTTGCATCTTTAATTGAAAATGTTAAGTTTTTTTTTCTAATTTAGTTAAGTTGGTTTCGAGGTTGGTTGATGTTGTTTGATGTAATTTTTAAGCTACCTATGTGTTTTCTTTTTTTTTTTCGCTTGTGTTTATGTTTGCTTTCTCATGACTTAATAATTTGACATTATTTTCATTTGAAACTCAATTTTTTATCGGTTTTACTTTTGAGAACCATCCCTTGCTTGCTAATTGACGAACTCCACAATCGCTGAACGAAAATATTTTAGCACGGTTTTGGAAACTCTAATTAATTCTACCAATTAGGGTTCAGATCTTTTTGGCCATTACAGAACCGGGCCTCGGTAACAATTTAGTGTGTTATTAGAAAGTCCTTTGGTACTTTCTAGCGGTCGAAATCAAACTCTTCTAAATAAGTAATAATGCTATATCTTATTGTTCTTGCTTCTTTTCTTTTTTGAAGTTCCTATAATATTTCTTCTGTTATGTTTTAACAGATATTTGCATTTTTAATTCAATATTTTAGGGCTTTTGTCTAAAATTCAGTTAAGTTGGTTAGGTTAAGTTTCCTTTACATTTTTCTTTACTGGTGTTCATGTTAATTTTATCATGACTGATTACTTAAGAATTTGATATTATTTTTATTAAAAATCTCAATTTTTTATACATTTTACTGTGAAAAACCATCCCTTGCTTTCTGATTGATGAACTGCATCACCATTGAACAAAAATTAGTCAGTACCGAATGTACAAATATATAGCAGTATTTTTCATATAAAAGGAAATTTTCTTAATCACATAAAAAGTATAAAAAGTCGTTAGTAAAAGTCGTATTCTGAATTACTTACTTCTATTTATTTTATTTATTGTTTATCGATATAATAAATGTTTAATTAATATTTTCTTGAAAAAGTTTTCTTTTTCTGACATTGTTTGTTAACGGTTCAGGGTTTCCTTTCCATTTAGTTACACAAAAAAATATATAACGTCACAGAATGGAATTTTATTGTAGAAGAAAGTTATTTTATAATATTAATAGTCGTTAGACAGAAAAACATATATAAAAGTCAAAAAAGTATTTAATACTATAATTAACTTTTCAGTATATACATATAAACCTTATATATTTCATTAGAGATATTATAATCCTGAATTAATATTATGTGTAATAGTTTATCCACATACGATCAAGAAGTCCAAATATAATTTAATATGAACTGTATCTGGTCTTTGATTCTCTATTTTTAACGTAACTTTGATTATAGATTTAACTTTAACAACTTAAATGTATTTAATTTTTGTATAAACTATAGGCTTGGTGCATTTCAGTTGATTTCAACAAATTCCGACCGCAGCGCTTCAACGGCAGAAATCAGAAATTATCAGTATGTATTTCGCGCTGCCGCGCCGCCGTTTCGAAAAATCTGGTCATTGATTAATCGCGATCCTGCTTAAAGCGCTTGACAGAAAAAGTTGATTTTTGGAAAACGAAATGACTTTAAGGTGTAGAGGTTCGATAAGAAGGGATTTTTTGAAACTCGAATTCTAAGGGGGTGAAACCACCCCTCAAATATTAGAATATTTTTTTATTTAAAAACCGATGAGTTTTTCGGAAAAACTCTTAAACGCATATACGCGTATACACGTATTTTGTTGTTTTACAAATTATAAGATTTTTTAAAAATCTATACAGGGTGTTTCATAAAATATGACCATTGAGTAATCACGATTCTGCTTAAACTGCTTGACGTTTAAAGTTGATTTTTGGCAAACGGATTGACTGAGGGATGTAGAGGTTCGATAAGGAGGGGTTTCTCGAATCTCAAATTCCAAGAGGGTAAAAACGCCCCTCAAATATTACAATATTTGTTATTTAAAAAACGGTTAGTCTTTCGGAAAAACGCTTGGACACGCATAATTTATTTTGTTTTTTACATATTTTAAATTTTTTTAAAAAATCATACAGGGTGTTCCAAAAAGTTGGGTAATTGATTAACCACGATTCTGCTTAAACTGCTTGATGTAAAAAGCTTATTTTAGGCAAACGGATTTTTCGAAAGTCAAATTCCAACGAGATAAAACTACCCCTCAAATATTACCAAGTTATATAATAATATTGCATATTGTTTTTTCACATGCTGACATAAATGTGAGAAAATTGTATCCAGTTTGTATGTTAATGGAAATTCTTGCTTTTTGCTTTATCATTACCATTACAAATGATTAATTCGACGCGAACGAAGTCGCGGGTACATGCTAGTTGAGACTATAAAACACTAAGGTACGAGGTTTGTGTGATGTAACGCTGTTTCGGATCGTGTTGTGTTGTGACAATTTGAAGTATTAATAAGATTTCCAAAAAAAAACGTGAAATTGCAATGAAGGGCTTGAGGAAATTTTTTTTAGCGGGTTTCGGTAGTCTCAAAAGACTTTTTTTATATATCTCAGTGAAATAAGTGAACCTTTGTAAAATATTTGACATTTTATTGATATAGAAGTTTTTAAAATATTTGTTGTTACATAGTATAGAGGGTGTTATAGATATTTCAATATGTAAGTGTTTTGTTTTAGTAGTGCTCTTTCTAGAGGATTGCAATTATTATTATTAATATTATCGCTCTAAGCAGTAATATATTTTAGAGTATGGTATTTATTTTAACTGTTAGCTAAAAATAACCCAAAATAGCCACCTATTCTAAATACTAGAAAATATAAGATTTATTTATAGGTATCCTCAATCAGATACGCAATAGTATCTTTAAACAAGACAATAGCTTCTAAATATTTCATTACGTAACATGCAATCAAACAATTATCTTTGAAATAACCTCACGCTATTTCTTTCTACTCTTATTCTATATCACCTTTCAGTAAAAATTGTTTCTTTATTTCAATTATCGTTATATTCGTTGTTAACCTAGAATCTACTTTCGTTCTCATTTTTTAATAGTGGTTTTCTTACTAGAAAATTCATAAATATCTCTATATTAAAAGGAAGTGCAGGTGTTCCATTAAAAGAGGTTCGTGATATGGCAAGTCAGAGTAGCTTATTATTTGGAAAGTATATTATGTTTTAATTAAAAGTAATAATAAGCACACTCCAATACCAACTCCAAATTGCAGGGTATTAATGTTTTCAATTTATTATTTCAAATATTTATTAATACATCAAATTTAGGTCATACTTATCACACATACATGTATCTAACGTCTCAGTTAAAACCAAACCAAACGACCGTTTAGAAGACTGTTACAGTTTTTGAGTATTTTCCGTTTTAGCTCCGTCTAGACATAACGTTTTAGGCGCGATTCTCACTATAAAGGTGCGTCCACATTGCTCGTTATCCTGCTCGCGCTCTTGCTTCTGATTGTGCTTGCGTTGCTTGCGCTTCCTGTTTGTCGTGTTTCTCAAGATCTTTCGGCTCGCAAGCAACGGCGCGAAAGGTAAAATAATAAATACTTAGTTATTAAACTATTGTAGGTAAATTAAGTAAAAGAAAACTGTTATAAATAAAGCCCATAAACTAATGTCGATTTTGAAAATAGCTACTAACTGTCACTAGCAAATTGTCATGGCGACACCGGCCATCTTGATTGCCATTTTATTGAAAAATCGCTTTTTATTCAAAATCTGAGCTAGATAGGTATAGGAAACCCTAATATAGTTTGAAAGAGCATTTAAATATGCTTAGACTTATTTTAAAAAATACATAGTGTTGTATCATTATCAACGGAATGCGATGATGAATATTATTCCGATCGAGGATTGGAAGACTTATTATCAAAATCTGTTGACGGAAAATAGAACCGAATTCATCCGCATCCAACACTAATAAGCTCTGCAGATGTAAATAAAGCCCTCCAACAAATGAAAAATCGCAAAGCCCCAGGTTTGGGAAATGTTTCAGTAGAACTTTTAAAGGCTGACCCTCAGCAGTTTCGGAAATTCTGGCAGATATTTTTAGTAGATGTTTAAATGGAGAAGACCCGCCCAAAGAATGGAAAAAAGCGATTATTACGTCCATATTTAAGAAAGGGAGCCGACGCGACTGTAAAAATTATAGAGGAATTAGTGTCATTTGTACTGTTGCTCGACTCTATGGCAAAGTACTAAAATATAAGATAGAAGCACAAATAACGGAATCGGAAGAGCAAAATGGTTTTAGACCGGACGCTCATGTACTGATGGCATTTTCACTCTTAAGCATCTAATCGAAAAAAAGCTAGAAAGGGGAAGGACGGTCCACTTGACATTTATTGATCTACAGAAGGCATACGATACAGTCCCACTGAGTAAGTTGTGGGTGTCAATGCAAAATTTTGGTATCAGTAGTTGGTATGTCCAAGCAACAAGAAAATTATACGAGGGTTGCAGTAGCACAGTTAAACTTGGAAACAATATTTCCCAAGAATTTCTTGTGAATAAGGGCTTAAGACAAGGGTGTTCATTAGCACCAACTTTATTTAAAGTATATTTGGAGGAAGTACTGAAGTGTTGGAAGATGAAGATTTATATACCTTACTCTTTGCCGACGACCAGGTCTTGATAGCGGGAGACAGAGACGACTCCAGTTATATGTTTAGAAAACTGCATGAGGAATATTCGAAATGCGGCCTAACAATAAACACAAAGAAGACGGAGTACATGGTAGTGGGTGATGACGAACGTGAGAATTTGGATGTAGGAATCGGTACAATTAAAAATGTCTGTACATTTAAATACTTGGGCGTCACTTTTACAACAAATGGAAAAAGCACTCAAGATATTGCAAATAAAGTTAGTCAAGGAAAAAGAGTTATCGGTCAACTTAACTCGTTGTTGTGGAGTGACAAAATTTCCCAAAAAACAAATATTCTGCTTTATAAAGCCATTGTAGAAAGCATTACCACTTATAGCGCTGAAACGTGGGAGCTAAACAAAGTAGAGAAAAATAAGTTGCTGTCTCTTGAAATGGATTTTTGACGAACAAGTTGTCGCATTTCAAGACTGGAACACATCTCAAATCAAAGAATGCGAGAAATTATAGGAGAAAAAGAAACTATTCTCGACGCCATTGACGGCAAAATACTAAGTTGGTACGGACACCTCCGAATGGATGATAACCGATGGCCGTAAAGAATTCATTCATGGACACCAAGCGAAAGGCGGAAACGTGGAAGAAGACCACCTCGAAGATGGAAGCAGGGCGTAGTTGACGCTATGAATTCTAGGGGCCTCCAGGAAGAAGACTGGACAGACAGAAATCTGTGGAAGTTGAGAAGCGGGAGACGACAAATGTCGTAAAAATCCGATACATAGTGTTGTATTTGAAATAAGGAAGTTTTTATGTAAAATAAATATTTAAAATATAGATCACCAATTTTTGATACCCCTGTATACATTTAAGAAAGAAATCAAATTTTTTAGTAAAGTTTATTTCTCTGGCTTCAAAGTCAGCACAAGAACTAACTCTGAAAAGTAATGTACAGGGTGTTAACAAACTTTTTTATTATAGCATACATATTTAAATATCTTTTAATATCTCAAAAACCAAAACATTTAAACATATTCAGCCCTTATAATAAATGCCTTATTTTATGCTCAAGAATCCAAAAATGAAATAAAATACCGCATGTTCCATAAGAAAAATTATAACTTTGGTATGGATCTTAGTTCTGACACACCCTGTACATTTCAAAATAATTTTAAATTATGCACATTGCCTCTCTACATATACCCATAAAAATTTTTGTTTCTACATCTTTCTGTTTTCGTATAAACAACCGAGGGGAATGAGGTGCGCTATCCTGTATATTTATAAGAACTTTTTACTTATTTTTATATGCAGAATATGCTGCCGAAGTTTGGCTTGGTTCGGACCACCCTGTATTATATTAAATCAGCATTGCTTCTTTTAAAATATTATGGAAAAATCGGGAACACTGGTCTTAGTCTTAGTCTTGCTTTCTGTGCAAGACCAAGACTGCTAAGACCAAGCTCGCTCATCGCTAATTTTGAATATAACCTACACTATGTAGTTAAAAATCAAGTTAAAACAAGTATTTTAAATAATTTTCAAACATAATCCCGATTTGTGGTGTGTTAATCGTGTTTAGAACAATAAAAACGGTAGCAAAAATAGGCATATTTTGTTAAAAAAATGGTTTTATCCCTGCTGAAAACCCTGTACACAATAACAGTCCATTACTACTATAAAGACTGATTTTTTTGAGGACCTATTAAAACTACTTGATTACCTGTATCTAAGCAGATTCCCATATTCCACTGTTAAACGTCTTAAGTATAGTTGAGCAGTGCCCTCAAATCGCAAGGATGTAGACAAAGACGCGGGTGCCGCGGAGACGGTACGGAATGATTCATCGAGAACTCGCGAACTCTTTTACAAAATCCCTTCCTTCTTCAACTTAAAACAGAAAAAAACACACCAACAGTCAAACAATCAGCTACATAGCGAAGCGTCTTTTTTCTATTCGCCAAAAATCTCTCCTTGGCGCGCGATAGAAAAAACTCTGGAAAAGATCCCGATGGAAAGCAACACGATAGGGCGTCCGGTCAGGATCGAACGTCGACACTAACTAGCTTCGAGGAAAAGCGCTAAAAGCGAAGGATTTTGAATAATTAATAATCACCTTGCCATTGGTTTCCACGGAGACGGCATTGTTATTTTCTTGACCGCTGTCCAGCTGCGCATGGCGTTTCGCAGGGCGAGGGGCGGGAAGGGATTGAGGGGCAGTGTCGATTCCAGCGGGAGCGTTCTTATTGGACCTGTGGCGCGGAATGAATTATTAATGTACGTAGGTTTCATATTTTTCGCGGGATTTCTGTAGGGATGTGGAGCGTTCGAAGAAGATCATTGCCGCATGATTTCTGTGAAAGTGGATTTTTTCTTAGTGGTCAGGCATAAATTCTTAATTTTCTTGAGATTTATATTTTTCGTAGGATTTTAGTCTTTCTTTAGAGTTGTCGAGATATCGGAGAAGATCGTTGCTACATAATACACTCAATAATTACTAAGAATGGAGATTTTTTGCATTGTGGTACGGCATAAATTCTTAATTTTCAAGTTTTTTTGTAGACATTTGTTCATGCTTTAAAGCGCCCTTTGAATAAGAAGACTAAGGAAGGAGCATATCAAAAATCTTAGGTACACCGCGATGGGCCTCAAATATGGCCGACTTAAATTCCAGTTTATCAGTGTCGTTCTAATTTTATTTAAAAAATGTAAAACTATGATGTAGGGTAGACGTGGGGTAGACTCAATAATTTGTTGTTTTATTTTACGTTGTGAATAAATGTTGGTAGTTGTTAAAATTGTTATAAAAATATATAATTCTAATAAAAATAGATAAGTTATAACAAGTATTTATTAACACAAACATCCGATACGCTACTGAACCAAGTAAGTCAAATTAACGTATCTAAATTCTTTGACATCTAATCTTTGACAAGTAATAAATAAAAGCCAAAATGCAAGAAAAATATATAATTTAGTTAATTTAAGTGAATTTCAAAAATGATCGGTTTACTACACGTATGTATATTATATAGTCACTTACTAGCGAAAAGTTGTTCTATTATTTCACTCAATTTTTGCCGAGATCTACCGCACGCTACACAACCAACTATTTTAGAGTCTTTTTCGATAAATCGCGATAGTGTCACTGTTAATTTAAGTTCTGCCACAATTTCCATCTAGATTTACTACCTTTATACAACTATCAGTAGTAGAATAAATAATAAATAACATAAAATAAGCTCCGTAAAGACTGACAAATCCACAAAATTTCAAATCAAATTCAAATGTGTCAAATGAATCATCAAACAGAACTGTCAAGTATCCCCACCCTAGAGTGCTTTTATGGTGCTTTTTCCGCCCACCATGCATGGATACATGGATAGCATTATGCTCCTTCCTTAGTCTTCTTATTCAAAGAAAGCGCCGTATACACATAACCTTTCATCTGTCAGTTTTGCCTGTCAGTTAAATCGGAAGACCGTCTAGAGAACTGACGACTGTTCTCTACATGTCTCTTAAATCTTAGCCCCTTAAAAGGCAACATTTTAAGTATCAGGTAAAACGGATTAAACGCTAGCGTACAAACTAGAACATTTACCTGACGTTTTATCAATTATAGCAGTGTATTTAGTTGAGAAAAAAAACTATTAAAAGAATTTTGCAAAATTTCAATTTGAATTTTGCAAAATTCTCTTAATCATGAATTTTTTGTAATTTATGAAATGTCAATCATAATCAGATAAATTGTGAATAAATTTCTACTATAAAGACACTCGAAAAAGTTCCTCAGAACTGACCACCGAGAAAAATCAAAGGTTTTCCTTGATTTAAGTAAAAACAATCTTCGGATTGTCACGGGGTTTCTAACAGGACACTGTCTCCTCAACTGACACCTCAGTATAGGCTGAAGCTGAGAAACAACGACGAATGCAGATTTTGTGGGGAAAATGGGGAAACGCCAAAACACCTTATCACTAAGTGCGCCGAGACGACGACCATTTGTGCCATGAACTTTGGTACGGCTAATGTCGAAGATGGAGAGCTGGCCTCTGTGGATCTGTCTTAGATACTGGCTTTTGTTAAAACCCTGAGACTGTATGATGAGTTATAACTCGTTATAACTCAAGAAAGGGGAACACAATAGATCTGTAAGGTCGCAGTGATTAACTCCCCTCCTAAACATTCTACATTCTACTACTCCCTTTAAAGACAACGTTTTAAGTATCAGGTAAAACTGATTAAACACTAGCGTACAAACTAGAATTTTTACCTGCCTTTTTATCAATTGTAGCATTGTGTTTAGTGGTTAAATTAGTGCTAGTAGTGCTAGTGCTGTAAATGCTAGTTGGTTAAATTTTGGAAAATTCTCTTAATCATGAATTATTTGTAATTTATGAAATGTCAATCGTAATTAGATAAATTATGAATAAATTTCTACTATATTTAATGAACTTTGAAAGATTATCTATAACGAAGAAAACAGGTTACCACGCATAGCTCGTGCAGGGAAATCCATGAGTAAGACACAGCCGAGAAGACCTCCAAAAAGATGAAAAGACATTTGGATGTCCATCTCCCAACAACTTCTACAGAGGCAACCTTATATCGCAACTAACAGATCGACTAGATCTCAAATAAGTACAAGAAGAAGAAGAAGAAAAGTTATCATTACAAGTTAATATAAAGTTAATGTTGTAAAATGTAAAATATTAGTAAATTATTAGTAAAATATCAATATTGTAAGACTTATTCAATTAGTAATTAGATACTTTTTTAATAATAAGTAAAAAAAAACTATGATGACTATAGTATTAAAATTTTTGTTTCAATGAGGATTTTTTATCTTTATTTCCTCTTTAAAGAATATTCATAAATAAATAGTGTTTGGTTATTGTTATGCCGATTAGTACTGAAGTTTAAAGACCCTTTAAAACTTTAACATACCTTTCTTTGAAAATAATAATAACCATTGTTCATCAAAATAAAACGATGATTAGAGTAAAGCGCGTTCAATGTAGAAATGTTTTGATATATTGTAGCGACCTAGTGTTTTATTTTGCAGTTGTTTCGCCAAGGGTCCCAACCCCAGCTGTATTTTTAATCATTTTTTATTTGTTGCAAAATCCTCCAAAAAATCCAAAAGTTTTTCTTATTTATTTTACTTTGAAAAGTTATCATAACAAGCATATTAATACCCCGCTGGCAAGCGAACCTTTGATCGGCGTTCACATGTATAGGAGTGAGTCGTTATGGCAATCTAATAAGTCGGAGTAAGCAAAAATACGAAGTATTTATTACATAACTACTTAATCTGACGCTATATTCCATGCGTTTGGGAAAATACTCGCCTTCTGTCTTTACATCTTAATTACATCTTAAGTACATCTTATTTTACTAAGCGTGTTGGCCGTACTCTTCGTACACATGAAAACCGGCACCCAAGACAAGAAATACCGACCCTTAGTATATACTATTATAACATATGATCGAAAAAAGAACAGCATCAAAAACGGACAAGAGAATGACAATCGAAGATAATTTTGGCGAGGTGAATTTCTAGACGTCATTTACTAAAAATTGACATAAAATTTGTCAAAAATTAACATTAATTATAGAAAGATTTAAAATGAATAGTTCCCTTGTGCGTTTCCAGTTAAACAAAATTTTTAAAATTTAAACTACACATCATTTAAAAATTATTTTACCCCAATATAAAAATAAAATACAACCTACTTAAGGCGAATTGACAGTAAGCGTCATGAAAGAATAAAGGAAGAATACGGGCCAAGTAAATGATATTTAGGTCTTAACCTCGACTAAAATTATCATCGATTGTCATTGCCCTATACTTTTTTTTAATGATAATAATAACCATTATTTATCAAAATAAAACATGATTAGTGTAACACGCGTCTAATATAGGTGTTTCGTAAGGTTCCTTAAGGTGTTTCGATTTATTGTGGTGATCTAGTGTTTTATTTTACTATTGTTATACGCCAAATGTCCCAATCCCAACTCTATTTTTTAACCGTTTTGCAAAATTAATTATGATTTTTTTTTTAAATTTATGGAATGTCAATCGTAGTCAGATAAATTGTGAACAAGTTTCTCTTATATTAATTTTTGGTACTTTGAAAAGTTATTATAATAATAATAGCTCCCGTATATAGCGTTTAAAGCCTTAGGAGTAGCAAGGTACATCTTGCCATACTAGAGCGGTTCGGTATACAAGGAAGATAATGTGGCTAGCATTACGCTTCAACCGCCTATTATTAGCTCAGGATTGTGAATCCCAAGTACTCATTTAAGGCTGAGTCGACCTAGGTACTCAAACTATTTTAATTTTTACACAACCTTTGAATTGGTAGACGCGAGCTGTACCTGAACGCCACCTGAAAAGTTATTATAACAAGATAATATAAAGTTAATATTGTATGTAAAATATTAGTAAAATATCAATATTGTAAGACTTATTCAAGTAGTAGATACTTTTTAATAATAATTAGAAAAATAGTATGATGACTATAGTATTAAAATTTTTGTTTAAGTGAGGATTTTGTGTCTTTATTCCCTCATTAAATGATATTCATAAATAAATAGTATTTAGTAATTATTGTTATGTGAATTGGTACTGAAGTTTAAAGACCCTTTAAGAACTATAATATACCTTTCTTTGAAAATAATAATAACCATTGTTCATCAAAATAAAACGATGATTAGTGCAAAGCGCGTTCAATGTAGAAATGTTTTGATATATTGTAGTGAACTAGTTTTTATTTTGCTGTTGTTACGCCAAAGGTCCCAACCCCAGCTGTATTTTTAACAATTTTTGATTTGTTGTAAAATCCTCTAATTATGAAATGATAATCGTTATCAGATAAATTGTGAATAAGTTTCTCTTATTTTTTATGTACTTTAAAAAATTATCACAACAAGTTGGCAGTGTTGCCAACTATCCGAAATACCCAAACTTCCCACGAAGGCTGTCGAAATTTTCCGTTTTTTTTTCAAAAACTTCTACGAATTACTCAAAATCGATTAT